AGGAGATTTTTCAGGTATGCAGCTTTAGTCCACCATCTAGTGGTACACATGTCTGAGCCACCGTTTCAAACGACCACCTGCTGCATCACTGACCCTCATCTGATTTCTGCACAGGTAAAATCCCTCCTCTCCTCTTTCTCTCTCTTCCTCTCTGGGTAGATGAAGAGAAAACATCAAGAAAAGTGTTTTTTTTTTTTTTTTTTTTTTTGGGGGGGGGGGGGTTGAAGTTGGAAGCCACGGCATCACACAGATTGTAATCCACAGAAAGTGACTCATATATCTCGGCAGCCTGCAGCTTGCGAAGATGCTTTGGGATTATTTCCACGCTCCGCTCTTGCCTCCGTGCGTGTTTACGCTCATGTGTGCCACACTGCTCTGGCTGCCAGCCACCCCACGGTGTATTTATAGCCACACAGAGGTAACCAGCGCTCAAGGAGTCCACGACTAAATAAACCTTCCTCTGATCTCTAAACTTGGACTGACTGAGTGACAGACTGAAGGAGGAGGAAGGAGGGAGGTCTGCTGATTTTAGGATCCACCTGATCGAGGTGGGGTGGCTTGGAGATGATGGAGGAGCGCGCGGCACCTCAAGGTAAGACCAATTCCTTGATCATTAAGTTAATGAATACGATTGCCTCCTGTAGCAAGGGGGAGGGGGTGCTGCTTCTGTCATCTTCCACCACATTTGATCTGTTTCTATTTATGGCTGCTTTCTCTTTGTTTGCACGTCAAACACTTAACTCCACAAGAATAAAGAAGCAGCAGCCTAATTAGAAATACCTATTAACTGGCTCTAAATGCATGCATTCACTAGGCGGTTTCCGACTTGCAGCTGACATGAAGAAATTAGCAGGGGGTGGGGGGTGGGGGGGGGCAGTCTGTTGTATAGGCTCAAGACTGGCTGCACTAATTAAAGCAAGAGACCACAGGCAGGAGCTGAGATTCAAACAGCATCTCCACACAAGTGTTTTTAACTTTAACTCAATGTGCACATTCTATCTAATGCTGTATTCATTTAGTTGTTCATGTCACAGATCCACCCTGGCTCCATGCAGTTTTCCCAAAGTGTTCCTGCTGATATAACGAGCGTCCACATGTCTGTTGAACTTGCACGGCGGTGCTGAAATCAGAGGCAGTCCACTGCTGAGCTGCACAAAGGTGCCACCAGGTTCCTCCATGTGAGCGCTGACCTGAGCCGGGGCGCTCAGAGATGCGCTGTGTGCCATGCTGGAGGGCAGAGCTCAGCTCAGACTGAGTCCAGTCCCCGTCTGAGGAGCCCCTGCTGCCTGGGGAGTGACTCACCCAGCTTTTGCTCTCAGCTCCTCCACATTCAGCTCCGCCGTGTTTTCGTCTGTCTCATGACTGGCTCACTGGGAAACTTGTTTAGCTTTTCTGCCCAGTTACCTTTTCGTACCCAAGATTTCTCTGTTTTAGTCACAGGGCAAGGGCAGCTAATAAATAAATAAAATTTAAAAAACAGGGTTGGAGTGGTTTTATTTTGTGTCTAAATGAAGGCAGGAAAAGCTGAAACCTTTTCGTCTTTAAATCTGCTTTTATTTTGACTCAGTCCACTTTCTGATCCGTTTTATTCAACCCATCATCAGCAGAATTACATCTTGCTAATGCCTCATGTATGAGACTTGAGCTTCCATGTGGGTTTCAGCAGATCCAGCTGACCGCTTTATTTACATTGAGTGCGTACCTGCACTTCAGACTTGCATGTCAATACAGCAGTACAGTTTGATACAGGTTCGTGCTGCACTCCAACTAATACAACCTCCAAGAACAGACGAGACTACAGGTGGCCTTGTCCTTATCTGATCAGCTTTATTTGAAAGTTCCTGTCTTTTAACAGTGGGTTAGACATATTCTGCCACTTGAAATAGTCTCTGTGATATTTTTCAACATTGTTTTGTAATACATGGATACAAATCGACAAACTGGGACTTTTCAGGCTCCTTTTCTTGTCTGCTGCAACAGAAACGCCACCGAGTGACATGTTCGCTCAAACTTACAGCTGGATTTCGGTGAATGTTTGTCAGGAGTGTCTGTGCAAACCTGTTGATAAAACATCCAGCTCTACAGCTGTCGAATTGTCGACACTCTATAGGGTTCGAGACTGGATCGACATCCTCGTGGCGATTTTCTGATATCTTTGAGAGAAAATGTCTCGCAGTTTTTTTTAAACATGCTCAAAATTCCAGCAAAACACAAGTGAGGCGCTGGGAATCATGCGAGGAGATGGATAATTACCAATAAATGTTTCAAGACATTTTAGAGACTCCCTTGCAAATGCTGTTCTCAGTTTATCATCAGCATTTACACCCTAATGAGATTAGTCCAAAAAAAATCCACCAGAAAATCAAGTCGAATGCTCCAATTTAGCAAACTCAAAAGGATTTTTCTTTTTATAAAGAGCAGTAAATAAAATCTGTTACCTTTTTAACAGCACTGTGTAACAAATGTTTTTTTTGTGATAACATTTTTAGTTTCTTTTTCAAATTAAAGTACAGGTAACCATTTGTATCTTACAGAAAAAAAGAGAAAAATAGTGTTAAACCAGAATTCACATACTTGTACATAAACTTATATAATAGCACATTAATAGAGAAACACAACACAACAAAACAACTGAATGAAGACCCTAAATAAGACCCACCTGTTCCCTGGAGCGTTTCAGTACACCTTCACACATTACACCTGAAATTCACGGAGGATCGCCAGAAGCGAACTCCATGCCTTCATTGTCTATTCTTTGACTCCGTGAACTCTCGTTATTGACAGTTCCAGACAAACAATGTCCATACAGTATATGTCAAAATCCATGCTGGGGAAGAAAGTGGGTGTGGGGGTTTCCACCGTGTTGCAACTAGTTGTTTTGCCGCCTAAGTCCTACCAGCAATGCTCTTCTCACGTCCAGTGTCAGATCCAGCTCTGACAGATCGTTCAGAATAATTGTAACAGGTGAGCAAAGCAATCTAATCTTAAATATCTTAGATAAATTAAAGGAACCATCTTCCAAAATTTGGACACTGGTGTACACTCCCAAAACATGTGAAAAAACTACCAACGTCTCGAGCAGAGATTATATATAGGATCAGTAATAACCTTCATCCAATGGAGTTTTATATACACCGTGTATAAAATTGTAATGTATTTGTTGATGATCAGGATTTCTAGATGCCAGGCTCACATTAATCCACAGTTTATCCCAGTCAAATGATGGTTCCACGCCTGGAATGTCTCTCCTCCACATCAAATCTAATGCCAGATGTGTGCTGCAACAAGAACCAATAAAGTCTGGAAACAAAACCAGTTGTAACTTTAACCGAATATAGCAATTTATGAAGTGGGTGAATTGTTAGAGGGCCCTGTGGGGACACCACTATCTTTTAAATATGAACTTAATTGCAAATAAAAGAAAAAAGGAGGTAACTGGTGTGTCAAACTTAGTACTATGTAATAAATGTTTATAATTCCTACTAGCTGCTCCTCTAGCCCACCTCCGACATTGTACGGCTGTCCTCTTCACTCCCACATTTATGCCTAAACAACTGACCAATCAGAGCCGACAAGGTCTTTTGGAAGAGCTCATAAAAGGACAGGAGCTAAAACAAAACCATTAAACACAAAAGAGAATCTGCAGCACTGTGCACTAAAAAGAAAGTACTTTTAGCACTTGAAAGGCGTGCAAGCCTATTCTGAAAGACCACTTCAGATAAATAGGAACCTGTAGAATACAGGATGCTTAAAAAAAAAAAAATCAATAATAAAGGCAATAAAACTAGCATGCTAGAGTGCTTTTATTTTCTTCTTTTTTTACAAGAAAGTAACAAAAGCTGAGCTGAAATCCAGTTTTTGTTGTCAGCTTTAGAGAAAAAGATGTGTATTGAGGCACGCTGGCAGAAATGAAAGCCTCTACATACGTAGCTTTGCAATGAATTAATTGCAGGACTCTGTATGCATGCAGTGACAGTACGTAGTTAGTGTCTGTCATGTCCTGGTAACATCAGGTAATTAGAGCTAAACGCACATCACAGCCGAAGCTGATTGGCATGTCATTAGTTTGCAAGGTTTTTTGGCCACAAAACAAAAACAAAAAAAGCGGCACATCTGCCATTTAAATATCTGTCACATTAAAAGAAATGAAGAAAAGGATTTCTAAACTCACTGAGAAATGTCAGATTCAAGTCCAAAGCTGTGATTTTTTTTAAAGCACCTTGAACCTCTGTTGCTAAATTCCCTGCTAACTTTGTGAAGCTTAGCTGAAATCTTTCTTTAGCTGACAGACGTGTCCAGGGTCGCATTTCTGCGTCTCATTTATTCAGGCAAATAAAACTGTAGCAGCTGTAAAAGGGATCTTTTGGGGTGATTGATAAATTTGTACAGCCACCGCTCATTCAAGGATTCAAGGTTCTTTATTGCCATTCACACCACATGTGGTACATGAGGTGGAACGAAGTTATGTACATAGGGTCCCAGTTACATCCAACAAAAATACAAATTGTAAAGAAAAACAGTAATAAGATCCGAGACATGAACTAAGAAATGCGCTAAACTAAGAACACACCAAGCACTAATGGTACAAAACAATACGCCAAACAACAGCAGCACGAACATGAGTCTGTGTGAGCAGATAAAGATGAACAAACACAGCAGTGTGAAATAAATCAGCAGCCTGAGATCAGCAGCATGAATAGTCAGCAGCACATATCGACAATCAATTGATATTACAGTGATTTTTTTCCAGTGATAATCCTGGTGACTCATGAGTCTAACAGCTTCAGGGTAGAAGCTGTTCCTCAGCCTAGTGGTTCTACACTTTATGCTCCTCAACCTCCTGCCTGAGGGGAGCAGGGCAAAAAGTGTGTGTGCTGGTTGAGTGGGGTCCTTCGTGATGCAGGTGGCTCTCTTCCTGCATCTGGAGGATGCTTTATCGTCTACTTTTTTGTTTATTTGCAGAGTTTTAGTGGAAGTGCCACCCCCTGACCACATCAGACATGCTCACCAGTTCAAACCAGTCCCTTTTCCTCACACCCCCTCACCACTCCCCGCCCACCTGTGGTCGTCGTGGAGAGACACACGTCCAGTCCTCTCTGTCTTTGCCCGAGCCTGAGGAGTGGAAGAGGTCCCATCCCAGCCCCCGTCCGGGCTTGGCTCAAGGAGTCCGCTCCTGCTCCCTGCAGGTCCCTCATGCCGTCCCAGAGAGCCTGGGCCTCCCCCCACGAGCGGCCAGCTTTGACGTCCCCTACAGCCAGGACGACGGCTCATCCGACCAGGGCTCGGGGTCTCAGAGCCCCCACGTCATGATGAGGCGGCGTGGCGGCGGGCTCTTGGAGCAGAAAGACATCATCATGGCCCACCAGGCTCATAAAATACAGAGCACGCCACAAGCCCGCAGGAAGGAGTGGGAGTGAGTATAAAAGATTCTGATTCAAAGGGTTTCTTTTTAAACTGTGCGTGTAAAGATGATGAATCTCCACGGAGGAGGATGAAAGACCCAGAGATCACATTTATTGGATTGACAGTTGAACCTGAGAATCTGTAAGTCTCAGGGAGGCCTCGAGGTTGACAAACACATGGAGGTGCAGAGAAACTCAAGCATGAGCAGATTTAGACGAGGCTTGGGACAGAAAAGCTTCTTTATGACAGTTTGTTTCTGAAAAGCCAAGCAAGTGAGCAAGTGTGAATAATAACAAGGCTGTTGAACTGGAAACACAATGCAGGCCAGTGCTAATGCTAATAATTACATCTGGGACTCCTGCTGCGATGTGTCAAACTGTCTGTCAGTGACATCCAGGAGCGGCAGCTGTGTGATTACCCAATTCCTTAAAGAAGAATAGGTCTCCTTTTTTTATTACATGAATGGGTTAAATTTGGCTCAAGCGACTATTAAATAGTTGTTTTTTTTAGCCCATAGTTTTGGTTGTGGACATCTTTTCTGCTGCCACAGCTGGCACTCAAAGGTGCTTTTAGAAATTCACACCAGCTGCTTGATAAACACCTGCCGGCTGCTGCAGGGGGGCACAGTGGAGTGTTTCAGGGTGGAGATCAGATCAGCACGTGATCAAGTGGATACATTTATGAATCAAATTAATTCTAATAATGCTTTTATCCCCTCTGTGTGACACATAAGAAAACAAATTTTATCATGTAATGAAGATTTTCAGCCAGCTTACTTGTGAAAACAAACATTTCTGTGATGATTAAATAATTTATGACATCATCTTAGATTCAGCTACACAAAAATTGACACTTAACTAACAATTTTGTTGACTCTAAAGCAAAAATAATTCTATTTTACGTAAACAGCCGTTGCGTAAAAGACAAAATTTTACATTAAAATCTGGATTTAAACTCAGAAACTGGTTTCAGTGGTGAAATGAAACTGGAACTGAGTACTGGACCTAAACTGGGGATGGGACCAGAACCAGTAATCTTCCATGTCCAGCTGAATATGCCAGTAAGGCAAAAGCAAATTTTGTGATAGTCAAAAGAGTTTGATTACATTTTTTCCAAAGCAGTCAAGATATTTATAGACAACTGATTAGACTGTTTGTTGTCTGCAGTTTTTACTCCAGTTTATAATTTGTGTGTTAATGAGACCATTTAAACACATTTTGATGGATTTGCTTAATTAAAAATGTTGCAGCGTAAAATTAGGAATTATATATCCATTTTAATTGTTTAAGAAAAAACAGACTGTCTTTCTCCTGAGTTCAGTAGCAGCTGTTTTAATAATTTCAGTCATATTTTATTGGCGTTACACAGAATTTATTCTCAAACAGTGTTTGACTTCACTCACTTCCAGCTCAGATATAACAAAAGAGGCCCAAACCATAATCCTCCCTCCGCTATTATGAACATATCACACTCAAATGTTCTTTTTTTTTACTAAACATAAAACTTTCCTTTTAAAACCAGAAAGCCAAGTTTTGGACTCAAACATTTTCACGCAAACTTCCAAACTACAGCTGTTCATGAAAACTTTTTTTTTTTTTTTACATCGAAACCTTGAAAAAATCCTGTTTTTTTTTGTTAATGCAGTTAGTTAATAAACATTTACATGAAATGATGAGAGAAAAGCTGATTAGACCTCGTCAGTTTTATTCTCCTTGTTGTTAAAGTGATGATTATCGTATGACAACCGCTGCAAAGGTTAACGTTTTATCTATGTTTCCCATTATTACCCCATCGTCTCAGCTTTTTATTGAATATTCATGATGACTCTCCTACCCGATGAACATCAACCACACTTTACTGGGTTTTCAAAAATGTCCTTTATTTGGCGAACTCACTCACAGACTCACTGGACTCAATTATTTTTTAGGGCTAACACTGTATTTTTTAATAGACCATGTTTTATGTCACATTTAGGCCAAACCATTAGAGAACTCAAAACTGTTCACAAATGTCAGTTTGTCAAAATGTGCTTCACAGAGAGCAGTAAACTGATAAACCTTGTCGTTACAGTTTTGCCAAACCAACTTTCACCCCTTCCATTATGTGACAGCAACATTATGGTTTACTAAAATCACATGTCATGTTGTGTACTGAACATTGTTTACTGTGAACTTATGAACTCTGGATTGTCTACCTCTCACTTGAATGTGAAGAGGTGCTTCATCAGCGCAACCTCCAACCTAACAGCCCTCCCACCATCCTCCTCCTCCTTTGTTCTCTCTTTTGTCATTCCCATTTATTCTCCTTTCCCTCCCTTTATTTCCATTTTGTTTGTGTTATGACATACCTTTTTGATTTTTTCTCCATCTTTTTCCTCATATTCATACATCCCATTTTAAACCATTCTTATAAGTGCAGATATAAACAGTAGCGAGCTAAAAAGTCATAAAACTGACCCACTGAGTGGAGCGTAGAGAATATTTGGGTCTTACTGTACATGCATTGTGTGCATTTGTCCATTAGGGGATGCTAAACAACCAAAGTAGAGGATATTTGTGCACTTCACCAGCAGAGTTTGGATGTTGCTGAGCTTTTCTTTAAAATATCAAAAGGCTTTTAACCCACAGTGATGAGTAACTTGGCACGTTTGCAGAATTCACTGCAGAATGTGAGCTTGTTTCTTTAATCCCCTCACAAAATTGTCTTTGATATTATTGCATCGCTGTTTTATTTCTGAACCCAATTTATTTACTGTACAAATTTGGACTGAAACCATAAACACAAGATAAATAAGTTTCAGCCCAAACTGGCCGAGAGCTGCTAAATCAGTGGCGATATAAGACGATGTAATAGTCGAATCAAACTGACATAACTCTGAACATAGAATGTCTGTTGCTAGGGAACAGAGAGAAAAATAAAATGCTAAAACCACTCCAGTCAATGTTAGGTGAAAGCCTGTCTGCAATTATATAAATGCCCTTCAGAGCTCTGGCACCAAGTGCCATTAACGTTTTAGCTCTCAGTGCATGTCACCTGCAGCCACACTTCATCAACCTTCCTATAAGCTGTCTAAGATGTGATGGTTGTTGTCCTTTGTGGTTCTAGATGCGCTGCGAACCTACTGCACTTCCCATTTCCCACCTGTTTCTGTGGATTTGGTTTTGTTCAGCTGCTGGTTTCATCTTGAAGTTTGCTTAGGCCCAGGCAGAATTGATAAAAAAGCTTTTCTCCTCTCATACGCTGCTATTTTTACACTCCTGCGAGCAAGAGCAGAACAAAAGCCAAACGGTCTTAACCAGCAAGCTGCACCTGGTCATCTGCATAGTGTTTGAGAGCATCAGTGTGGCAGTGGTGCCGCGCACAAGTCTGTCCGTTTCCTCCCTCAAGATGTCCAGTGACCCTGACTGTGGAGGTGTGTGTGTGTGTTGGGAGATTTCTGTAGGAAGAGGTTGCTCTATTGTGCAACATGGTTTTTGTTGGCAGAAATGAAAAGAATGAAGCAGGAATTCAAGAGCGCCATGTCGCTATGGAAACAACAGCAAAAGGAGAGCAGGAGACACAAGCACAGAGAGGGATTATGTGTTTGTAGAGAGGGACAAATATTTTTGTTGGGCAGCGTAGGGTTTTTGTAATGATTGTTTTTAAGCTAAAAAATGTGTCAGTGTCCTTTCAGTTTATATTTTTCATGTTTTACTGATTGTGATCATTTTAGCCTTTTGCTGCCGTCCTGCTTTGCATGATGCAACACGCCCTCCTGCTTCATGCAGATTAAAAATGAGCAGGCGACGAGAATCTCTGGAGCTTAGTTAGAAACTTATTCATAGATCATGTTAAATCTTTTTTTTTTCTTTTCTCCCCTTGATCTGGACTTGTTTGCTAAGTGTGATTTTGTCACTTTCTCTCTCGCCTCAGTTTTGCAGTCCCTCTCTGGTTACCTGTCTGCACACAGACATGTCTGTCAGTCAGCAGCACAACCTGTATTTTTATGGGTTTTCAGGAGGGGCTGATTGAATTTAATTGCAACAAGCTGCAGCATTGGGCTCGCTCGGTTGGGTGATCTCATGTCTGTGGGGGCTGAAGTGGTCATCTTCAGGGAAGCGTTGGGGAGGGGAGCAGCAGATGGAGTGAGAGTGCTCAGTTTGCTTAATGAGGTCTCACTTTAGGGCAGCGAGTGTGAAGAAGAGACCCTGCTTTCCTCTGCTTTGCCTCCAAAAAGGGAGCAGCCCATAAGATCTATTTCATGTTCTATTTTTACCCCTGACTTTTATTCCAATATTAGCACGATGCCCCAGTTTTTAAGAGGTTTTATTTGCACAAATCTGCCTCTGTTAATAAAGATATCAAATGAGCAAAATATTTCAACAAATCTTATTTTTGTTTTTGTTTCATGTGCATTATCTCCCATTTGGTTTTATTTGGATTTCACACTTTTTTTTTTCTTTTTGCCACAGCACCCACAATCACCTTTACATAATTGTATTTGTATTTTTTAAGCACTTACCCACACAGCCTGCTGTATATAGCAGTTTTTATCGGGGATGTGTTTTTCTTTTCTTTTTTTCCATCCTCAACAAACTCTAATTGCCATGGTAACGAAATGCACGTCCCTCCTCTTTAGCGTCTTTCATTCAGATGAATTTTGAAATGTCCACGAAGTAGCGCTGTGGGAGGAGACTTGGACGGTGCGCTCGGCTCCTGGCTCATGATTTACCTGCAGGTGAAAAAAGTGTTTTCAGTCCTTTGAAGCCTTTTTTTCATGGAGGTGCTAGTTTAGATGCGTTGAGCGGACTGTAGTTCACACTGCGCCTTCGCTAAGTTTACCAGAGAAGATGCGTAAAGTTTTGGAAGGTTTCCCTCGGAGCTCTCCATCTGATGAGCGCGTGCTGGAGTCTGATCAGCCCTGAGCACAGCGAGCTTGGAACCACAAGGAGCAAACTGTGGATTTTTTTTTTCTTTTTGCACCCCCTTTCTGAACTGTCCGAGTTTATGAGAGGCGCGCACATTTAAAGTTATCCAGTACTGCGCGCGGAGCACGGTTAAACAGTTTTGTCTTAAGCCTTCACTTCTTATCGGGTGAATGAAAGATCTTCCTGACATAAACATAATTATTTTCTTCCTTTTGTGGATATAAAGTGAGAGGATTTTTTTTTCAACTTTTGGAGGAATTTAGCGCACGAAAAGCAGACGCACTGGACTCAAGGTGGATGTCTTTTGGTTGTTGTTGTTGTTATTGTTGTCGTTGTAAAACCACTCTAAGTCAGTCACCTCCTTGTCTCTTTGTAGAATGGCTCGGTTTGGAGACGAGTGCGCTCCCACCACGGTGGACCCCGGGGACGGGGACGTGGAGCGCGGTGGAGACGGACAGGACGCGGCTTCCGCCGGGCTCACGGCTTCCATGAAGCAAGCCAAGGCGCAGCGGGCCCGGACCATGGCTCTGTACAACCCGGTCCCCCACCGGCAGAACTGCCTCACCGTCAACAGGTCGCTCTTTATCTTTGCTGAGGACAACGTCATCAGGAAATACGCCAGGAAAATCATCGAGTGGCCATATCCTTTACTGTCAAAGTGTTGGTTTGAATGGAGCGTGTGCAACTTCAGCACCATGGACAGCGACATGAGACGACTTCTCTGTCAGTGTTTGAAGTACTGTACTATTTACATCTCTAGTTTTTCTTTTGATCTCTCCAAAGCTGTGCTCCACACCTCCTTATACACACTAAAAACTGCTGGGTTAAGTTGATAACTCCATTCATTCAACCTTTATTTATACAGGTTAGTCCCATTGAGCCTCGGAGACTGAGTTACCAGAGAGACCTGAGTTGGGTTAAAGCTGTTAAGTTTGATTGGTTTGACCAAATATTGGGTCAGAAAGTTTGATCCAGTGGTTGTAGGTCATTCTTCACAGCGCACAGTTTCAAACCAGAAGTTGACCCTCTGCTTGAATATGTCAAAGTAAGGCAAATGTTTCAGCGGGTTGTTCACAGCAAGTACCTAATAAAGGCAGATTTGTGGTTGTTCTTTTCAAACTCAACTATTTAGTAGACCCTAGTTCATCCAACTTAAATCAGGCTTTGGTGAGAATCTGTAACCCAGTACTGGGTCAAACTGATAACCTAACCCTGTTCAGTTAAAACTACCCAGGGTTGGCTCAGTATTTGACCCAGTTAGTTACAGATTGGGTTGTTTTTAACCCAGCAGCTTTTACTGCTCTTTTTTTTTTTTTTGGTAACTTCCTTACTGGTCCTTGTTTCTGAAGGCAGCAGAGAGCAAGCATGTGGTGATCATTAGAAGCAGTTCTGCTCACTGTGGGGGTGGCATGTAGGCACATCGCTGCTGCCTTAGTGCTCACTGGAATATGAACCTGGCCATGAGTAGGTGTCGGTTCAAATTCACCAGGCAGCACTTTTCTCTGGTTCTCAGCTGTAGTGCTGGCAAACGTTATCTCTCTCCAGAACTTTATGGAACTTATAGAGGCTATCTGGTCCAGTAGCATCAACATTCACAGCTCTGTACACAAATAGACAGAAGATGTTCACTAGTTGTTGAATTTTTTTTTGCATAATTGCTCAAATTTGTCTCAGTTTAAATGTTTTGGACAGCATCATCAGTTCTGCTGTACCTCCCCACTCTCATTCTGCCTTTACACCCCCTCAAATGCACCGTGCCAGTCTCCCACTGTTACCTAACCACATGCTCTCTGCGAGTGTGTGGGAGTAGGACTAGTGGTCAACACTAGCTGGCCACTGGTGGTGCGGTGATGTGACTGTGGGTATCACAGAGGCTGAGGTATGTGGGAAGAGAGCTGGCCCGGATCGTAATGCGGTGGATCAGGACTGTGAACACAGCACGTGTCAGAGTGTTGACTGCAGCAAGACTGATGGTGGCCAAATTCTGAGACTGTAGGTGCAAAAACAAATTCTTGTGAATTTTTCTACAAACTACCAGCACTGGTTGGTGCACACTTCTAGTTGAGCACCACAACAAGTTGATGATATGCAATTTGTTTTAAAAGGATATTATTTTGGCCAAAGTGAGCCAGATTTTCATCATGTGCTCCAACATTAGTTGCTTCATTCCAGTCTTCTTAAATGTCATCTCAATAATATATTTTAGACATGATTTAATTACTCCATTCATCTCAAATATGCATTCTTGTGTTTTTTTACTTGTTTATATTTATTAACACTTGAACATGAAGAGTCTCTAAAGCAGGGTTCATAATCTATTAACTGTCAAGGAAAACATTTTAAAACTTTGACAAGTTACTTATATTGATTACAGAATACATATAACATTTACACAGTATAATTATATATATATATATATATATATATATATATATATATATATGTTATTTTATTGTGATTGGCGTTTTGGGCAGTTGCTGCATGACATAAATTGTTTGAGATGTTGGATTTTTTTAGATATCGACTGAAGGACTTTTCCCACTCTTATTGTGTTTACACTGTACCATGTATGAGGCGGATCAATGGATGTTGAATATATGTCGCAATCCTGCAGTGATTTAGTTGTTACTCAGCCAGTGGCATTTCTCCACTGAAGTTCAATCAATGAGTAAAAATCCTATTTTTTAAAGAAAGACCGAAATGTCAGATGATCAGAAACAGTGAGTTGATGTAAATTGAAAATACAAATATATGAATCTGACTAAATAACGGACAGGATAAATATATTTAAAAAGGATATTAACTAGAGTAAGATGTACAGTAAGTGAAGTTTATTACATTTTTCACAGATAAGATCACAGTACTTCACAATAAAAATCAAACCAATTAGGGACAAGGATTTATTTAAAAATAAATAAACACATTATTGTATAAAACATTAAAAATGGGTATATGTGTAAGCTGATACCTGGTAATGTGTTTGGAATTATACACAAACCTTATTGAATGAGTGCAACTGTTGTCAGGTTGTGTTTAAAGGACCCAATGTGCAAATTTAACATTGGAGGAAAAACTCAACTTTCATAAGAAAAGCAAAAAGGCTGATGATGCAGCAAATAAAATTACAAGTGAAACATGAAGCAGGAGGAACAGGAAGCCTGTTCAAAACAAACTAAGGCTACGTTCACACTGCAGGCAAATGCAGCCCAAACCAAAATGTTTCCACAGCCACCTCTTCCAGCTCTTCTGGGAGGACTCCAAGGCATTTCCAGGCCAATAGTCTCTCAGCGTGTCCTGGGTCTCCTCCCAGTCGGACATGCCCGAAGCACCTCCCTGGGGAGCATCCTTACCAGGTGCCCAAACCATCTCAACTGCCTCCTCTCGATGTGGAGGAGCAGCTGTTCTACTCAGAGTCTCTCCTGGATAACTGAACTTCTCACCCCATCTCTAAGGGAGAGTGCAGCTGCCCTGTGGAGGAAACTCATTTCAATCGCCTGTATCCACGATCTCATTCTTTCAGTCAGTACCCAGAGCTTGTGACAATAGGTGAGGGTAGGAATGTAGACTGACTGGTAAACAGAGAGCTTTGCCTCACAGTTCAGCTTCCTCTTCACCACAACGGACAGAGTCCGCAATACTGCAGATGCTGCATCAATCCGTCTGTCAATCTCACGCTCCATTCTTCCCTCACTTGTGAACAAAACCTAGAGATACTTGAACTCCTCCACTGGAGGCAGAACCTCACCCTCGACTCAAAGAGAACAATTCACCCTTTTCTGACTGAGGACCATGGCCTCAGATTTGGAGGTGCTGATTCTCATGCCAGCTGCTTCACACTCGGCTGTGAACCGCTCCACTGAGAGCTGGAGATCACGGCACGATGATGCCAACAGGACCACATCATCTGCAAAGAGCAGAGATGGAACCCTGAGGCCACCGAACCGTAAACCCTCCGCCTCCTGACTGCACCGAGAAATTCTGTCCATAAAAGTTCTGAACAGAATCTGTGACAATGGTGGTTTTTGTAATTTATTGTATTCGAACGTGGTCATCATATTATATTGTATATCAGATTAATATTCATCTTGGTTGGTTTTCCTGTGCAAATGGGCTCAAATGTACACAGTGATATGCATGCTGACAGGTGAGTGTCAACAGTGTGAGCAAAATTTATGACGTACTTCCAATTTTATCTTCTTTCAACCACTTTTAATGGCAACATTGTGGTCAAAGTGAGTCATTTTGTCCCAGCAGGCCCCATTTCTGCACTCCTCTGTGAGTCAGTGACCCTGATTCATTCAAGTCAGGAAAATTAATAACGAGGAGTGCGTTCCTCATGGGAGCTCAGTGGACTGAATGTCACAAATGTTGGGCTGATATTGTCACATAAGAATACCACTTTATACACGTGTTAAATGTTTAAAGCCGATGTCTACAAGTGTAAATTAATATTACAAAAAACACACTGAAAGCTTTATTTTTAAATGTTTTACTTATAGAAAACTTGAAGTTAAAAAATTGTGGAATATGAGTGTGATACACTCCACAAACGCAAACACACAAATGAGATCTGCAGAAAGTGTCATTTAGGAAACAAGGCAAGAATCACTCAAGAGTTTACTTTGGTTTGATTTTTCTTTGATACTATTGAAATGTTTGAGTATTACAGCTGTTCATTAAAAAAAAATAATCAAATTTTAAGTTTTCTCTGAGTCAAAAACTTAGATACTTAATGAGCTGAACCAAATTCTGTGGAGCACATAAAAGAGCTGTAATTCTCACAAATTATTAAAGGACCAAAATAAATCAAGCTGACAAATGGAAAAAAAAAAAAAATATAAATATATAAATAAAACTGGAGGAGCAAGGACCAAAGAGGTCTGCCAAAAAAAAAGAAGAGATAATCAGAAAATATCCAACAAATGTGCTCATTATGGTCAAAATAAGGCAAGAAGAAAGCAGAATGAAACACACACTACCAAAATAAAACAGGAATTAAGGATAGAACTGAATCGAATAAATACAACTCGATAATTCAAAGTATAACCCTTCAAAACAAGATCATCAAAGTAATCAAAAGCTAAACTAAACCCAAGAATAAAACACAAAGAACAACAAAAACTAACTAAACCAAACTTATCCTGATGCATGCTAAACCAAACTTAGAAACCACAAACTATAAAAGGTTGGTAGTTTGAAACTGGTCTTCCTGCTCACAGAAGTTTTGGGCAAGACGCCAACATCCTCACCTATTGTTGGGAACGATCAAGCTTCACTCACTTTTAGGTAAAAAACTAACATTTGGTCATATTGCACCAGTGATTTTTCATGTTGAATTTCTGCATCTTTTTCATTGTAAAACATTTAAAAGAACTGAGCGAGTGAATGGAAAATGAACGAATGAACATGGATTTTACAAAGTTGTTCATTTGAGCCTTTTTACTTATTTTTAGAACTGCAAATGCACAAGTTTCTTTACATTAAAATGCCGAAAGTTATACCAAATATACAAGTGGACCAAAGTTTACTTACTGATCTCCATTTTAAAAACACTGATGCATTTACCCTTATTGTATTTTATGTACAAACTATAAAGCCACATCTCCTTTTTAAATTCAGACAGGCTAAACTTATGTAGCAGTTCTAACCAAAACTTTTCTTTTCTACTGAACACACCCACACACTCCATGCTGAGACACTGCAGCACAAGTACAAATCCTGTTTGGTCTGCTGTTTTGTCAGCTGGCTGGCGGTGAAAAGAACCTGAAGAGATGTTTTGCTGTGACTCTGTGCGCTTACACCATCAGGCCAAGGTGACTTCACCGCACACTCATTCCCTCCCTAACTCTTCTCCTCATGAAAAGCACTTTTAAAAGCATGTTGCCATGGATACTGCAATCTCTCTAAGAGATTGCTTTCAGTACCAGAAAATATGAACCATGTCATGATTTGCCTGTCAGTTATTCATCCATTAGATGATTTTCCTCTGCACCACTTTTTGTAAATGTTTGTTTCCATAATCTATAACTTCTGATGGTGAGTTGGGGATTTAAAGCTACAGAATGAAATGAGCGTTTCTCTTACCCAACATGATGCAGTTATAATATCACGTTAGCTTTAGTGAAGCTCCATCCTCCAGTTCTGGTTGTTTTCTACACACGTTGTTTTTGTGTCTTTTGGATGTGCAACAACTTCCCTTGACCTCATGATCTTTACACCGTTTGAGTACATGATCCTGGCCACCATCACCGCTAACTGTGTTGTCCTGGCCTTGGAGCAGCACCTCCCCGGAGAAGATAAGACCCCCATGGCAAAGAGACTGGTGAGAGCAAGGTCCCTGTTCTTTGGCAGGGTTTCCACTTGTAGACGCATGAGGGGGTGGAGATCAAATGTGAAGAAGTTGAGGGGGTTTATGGTGCTCTAATTTGTTTGTTTGTTTACAGAAGCACATTGTAAATAATTTCTAAAACAAATAAGAGCTTTCTTTTAGTTAAAAATACAAAGAAAAGCTTTTAAAGTGCTGCACTCAGAGTGCCTCAAAACTGGAAATCCATACATCCATCATCTTTTACCTGCTTCTTCCACTTTGGGTCACACGGGTCACTGGTGCCCATGTCCAGCAGTCACAGTGCGAGAGGCAGGGGACACCCTGGACAGGTCTCAGTCCATCACAGAGACACATGGAGACAAACAACCATTCACTCTCTCACTCACACCTAGGGACTATTTAGTCACACCAGTCAGTCTAACATGCATGTTTTTGGTCTGTGAAACTGGAGTACCTGGAGAAGACCCATGCATGCACGGAGAGAACATGCAAACCCCACCCAGAAAGGCCCCCGGCCGGGATATGAACCGGTGACCTTCTCGCTGAGAGGCAGCAGCTCTACCAACTGAGCCACCGTGCTGCCCAAAACTGGAAATCCAAACTTTAAATTGTATGTCACCTGCATACAATTTAACAGAACTTTGCAAAAATAAAGAACAAAAAACATTTGCTCTTTATTTTTTGCAAAGTTTTGTTAAATTGTACAAGTGACAATTATAGACACCAATCTGTTTTTGTCTTGAACTTTTTTGAATATAGACAAAATAAATTTTAACAGCCACTGAGCATCACAGAGGACAGAAATCATTTGAAAATGCACAAAAAGTCCCGTAATTTATGAGATAAAACTAAATAAAAACTAACCTTTTCCTGCTTTTAGCTAAAGTTTTTTGACTTTTAGCTGTATAGTTTTATTCCATTTAGCTTTAACAACTCATTCACAGTTTACTTTTGAGCAAACTCTCATGACCTGTCTAATGTGTTGAACCCACATGCAGGAAGGCAACAAGGAACTCCAAAGGTAAAAGTAATATAAGAGTTTATTTTAAATAAACAAAATAAAATGCTGGTGGGGCAGCAAACTTACTTTTCAGGAGTAGACGAGACATGGAGTGAGTCAGGACATGGAAGCCTTTACAGACAATCCACAGACAAGAAGCAAGGACACAGAATATGTAGAGGCACTGATGAGGAAGAAAGACAAACATCTGGGGTGATTAGGACAAACATCTGGGGTGATTAGGACAAACATCTGGGGTGATTAGGATTAAGGACAGGTGTGACAGGAACAGAACACAAGGAAGAGAAAACACTGTGGAGTGCAGGAGGACACAAAACAGAGAAAACCAAACTTCAGCAGGATGGTTCACAGCATTCACACTGAAGTTTTACAGAAAATGCCATTTCACTTCTTATATTAGTTTTGTTGAAACATTTCTCGTGAAAGGATATGCTGTACGTTCTGTGCTTTCAAATGTACTTGCTGACTTTTGTCATTTCTCCCACAGGAGAAGACAGAGCCGTATTTTATCGGTATATTCTGCTTCGAGGCGGGGATCAAGCTTGTGGCTCTTGGGTTTGTTTTCCATAAAGGAGCCTATCTGAGGAACGGCTGGAACGTCATGGACTTCATCGTCGTCCTCAGCGGGTGAGTTACACCACATGTTTTTGTCTTGATCTGTTTCCATCGAAGCAGCAAACCTTTGTTTCAAATGTTTGCCTGTTATATGATAAATTTACCAATAAATTAAGTTTTTAAAGGAGAAAAGTTAGCTACAAGTTTTAATTTAAAGACCCTTTAAAAGCAATGCAGCCGATATACCATACCATTTTATTTATAGAGCACTTAAAACAGTGACAAGGCCAACCAAAGTGTTGGTTATACAAAGTATATGATATATGGTTTGAAAAAGGTGGACAACCCTGGATTACATTAAAACCATGAAGGCTCACGCCTGTGACGTGCTTGTCCTACAAATACAAAAAGTGGAAGAAAATATCCATCCATCCATCCATTATCTTTACCCGTTTATTCCATTTTGGGTCACGGGGGTCGCTGGTGCCCATGTCCAGCAATCACTGTGCGAGGGGCGGGGTACACCCTGAATGGGTCGCAAGTCCATCACAGGGACACATAGAGACAAACGAGACAAACAAACATTCACTCTCTCACTCACACCTAGGGACAATTTTAGAGTTACCAATCAGCCTAACATGCATGTTTTTGGACTGTGGGAGGAAACCGGAGTACCCGGAGAAAATCCACGCATGCACGGAGAGAACATGCAAACTCCACCCAGAAAGGCCCCTGGACCGGGGTTTGAACCAAGGACCTGCTCGCTGAGAGGCAGCAGCTCTACCAGTTGCGCCACCGTGCATCCCTGGAAGAAAACATATTAATAGTAAATAAATTTGAATAATACACGTGATTTTTTTGTCACATAACTGGTATTTTGTTTTGAACATGGCACAGCCAAAGAGAACCAGGAAGTGACATCAAAGGGGAGCTCCCTGGTCTTTGTTTGTTGAAGCAATATAAATAATTTTTAACTCTGACTCTTCTTCGTCTCTCTTTGATAGTGACTCAAAATAATCTAAAGAAACATCAGATTCTTTGCTTCTATTTCTGTTGTTAACCAGTGTAACCACTGCTCTGCTTTTATACAGGCGTTCCTCTTTCATCACTTCCTGTTACTGCACATGCAGCTCAACAACTGTTCATCTTAGGGTTGTCAAAAGTTTTTTTTTTTTTGCAATATGTTGTTCATGATATCTTTCCAAAAATGCATTCATATTTATTACAAAAATCTGATGTCACAGGCACTTGAAGCCTCTGTTAGTCCTTATTTCTTTTGGTTAGCTCTTAATAGAAAAGGGAACTTCTCTGTTGAAATATTTAACTTTCACTTCTTGGCAGTTGTCTCATATATATATAATTTTCATTATAGACTTTTTACTTATTTGTTGTATTCTGAGACAAATTGTTGGTTGTCAAAAATAGACTGAAAACAAATCCACCTTTCTCAGAAACTTCATAAATAAATGGCTACACTTGAATATGTTAAAAATAAAACCCAAAGGATGACATTCATGTGGTGATTTGATTTATACTGGAACAAGTTTATGACTTTGTTTGGGACAATACATTATTTTTTCATTTGGACGTTGTTGCATTGAATCAGAATGATCTGAATAAAAACCCTGAAAATATTTAATTCTGCTTCTCGGACAGTTGAGGGTTGTTGAGAGCACACCAGGGTATGTGTAACAGATGCCATAAACAATTACCAAATTATTTTCTCCATACAGTAAATTATTCCCGTTAACAAATTTATGTCATCGGAGCAATTTCTGGGACAAATGAAAAGGATTAAATTGTATAAGAATCGTGAGTGACTCACTGCCCTTTCAAGTCAAATTAATCCATAATAATACAATAATAATACTTAATTACAGCAATTTTGAGATATGAACAGAAATAAAAAATTGTTCTTTTTTGTTGTTAGATATCTAATAATAAAAAAAAACAATGATGACATTCATATTGGTTTTCCTAATCACTATTTTATGATTTGTAAATAGTCACATTTATTCCAGTTTATTATTTAATGAGTACTTATCAAATCAAACATTTGAGTAAATATACTTCAATTTGAGTTTATGTTACTGTAACATAAAAATATTAGTGTTATGTCATGCATGTATGCAGTTCAGCATTGAATAAACTCCACATGAAGTTCAACGTTTTAGTAAATTTTCCAAAATTGATCACAAAGTGTTTAATTTTTTTTTCAAAAACTAGCCCGACGTCATCAAAACCCTTTTTAATCACATCAACCATATTTAGATAACAAGAACTCAAGCAACAGATATTAGGAAGCCTCGTTGTTTATAAGGGTCTAATCAAAAATAAAAATGTACTTTAACATCTTGTCTCCTTTACCTCAAATCTTCAGTGTCAAAGTTAGAAAAGTGGCATTTGGAGGCAACTTTAAATACCAGACTGGGTTAGTTTAAGTGTGCACGTGTGTGTGTGTGTGTTTGGAAGTATGTCAAACTTCACAACGAAATGCAAACTTTACTGAAGTATGTGAGTCGGAAGGGTTTTAAATTAATACCCAGCTACTGATTCTCCAATTAATTTTGACAAAACTCATTTTTAGTTTACCAGACTGGAGCCGGTGAAGCAAAAGATTAATTTCAGACACCGATTGTCAACTTGTGTCGGTGCATTCATGCACGTGCTGCTGCTTGTGTTAGCGTTTATCAATATTTTTCATATGTGTGCTCGCACTGCTGTTGAACAGCCTCAAATGCAAACATGCTGCGTCCTTGATAAGCCTCATTGTTGACCTTAAGCATATGGTTTCTTGTAGATGTATTTTTTTTACATGCACAAGACAATATGACATAAACACACAGAAGGAATAGTGTTTGCATGGCACAATGAGGCTTTGGGGTCTGTGAAAGGTGGGTGGATAAGTGGATTGGCATGTGTGTCTGAAACTCGCTCTGGTTCGCCCCCAGGACCTCTGTGAATTAAACGGGAATGCATCCGTTTTTGCAAAAAGCATAGAGAGCAGATGGATGGAGAAGAAAGGACAAGAAAAATGGAAAGACAAACATGATGAGAGTGTTAATTTGTTCCGTGCAGGACTGGTTTTGGTGAATTACTGGTGCAGGAGTGATCGGTTTTCACCACTGCTGTGCTGTTCATGGTGCAGCATCCAACAGGCAGGGAAAATGCTGTTGGCGTGTCGACATCTTATTTCAATCTGACTCCCACATTCTTCTTTTTCTTCAGTTCTTCTCATTTTTCTGCCCTTCCATCTTCCTTTCTCTGTCTCTTACATAAAAGAGACATTGCGTTTGTTCAGCGGCTGGCTTATTGACAGATTTGCAGCAAGGTTTTCATTGTTGAAGTCTTCAGTTTTAATTCTCTGTTCTGAACAGTTCCTTTTTGATTTCATTTAAAGGCTTGTTTTGTCTAAGAAACTGCATCATTTGTCCAAGAGTAACCTTGTTTTTGAAAAGCCCAAGATTTAGAAGGTTTTATCTACTTGTTGTGAGTTGAAAACTTTTTATCCTTGCACGGAGAAGCACCAATACATATTTTACAAAACTGCACTCAAACACACCAGGCTTCAGTGTGCTCCAGAAAAGATTCAATGAGCAGCAACTGAAGTCATTTTTGAACGTATTTTCCCATTAAATTACTCCAATGGAAGTGAGAGTTTCTGTTACTAGTGTGCCAGTTCAACAAACTATAAGTATTTCTGAAAACAGAAATATAATTAGAACTATTATAACTATATGTTTTATCACTTTAAGACCAATAGAGTGAGTTGTGTATCTGTTTCGTGGAGTATTTTACTGGCAGAACCAAATACACTTAGCTATACCCAACTGGAAAATACCTTTGGCCTATAAGTCACATTTTTTTGCATAATTTACCTGCCCTGCGACTTATAGGCTGAAGTGATGTATTTATGGATTTTTTCCCCATATTTATAAACCAATTTTTGGCTGAGATATACCCATTTTCATTCATTCTAACTGAAAAAAAAAAAATGAGCAGTACCATTTTCAGCCACTTGATGGCAGCAGAGTAGTAGTAGCAGTAAGGCATGTCATTGTTTCATGTAATAGATAAACGTGGTTATAATGACAAATTCAAAAAATTTCAATACAAAAACAACTGGACTTTATTTATTATACTTTATACTTTTTTGTTTTGTCTTGAACTTTTTTGAATTTACCATGTCCTGGATGACTGAGAATCTTCACCAGCTATTAATGACACAATCGGCTTGCCTTAGTCCCATCACCTTCGTTCTGCTCGCTGCTTGGAGCAAGTCAAACCAGCTGCACCGCCCTGGGGAAATGCAGCTAATTTGACCATTAAAGTGCATTTATTAAGTAAAAGTTCAACTGAGACACACCTTTACTATAATTTCGAGCAAACAAATAATTGTTTTTAAGTGTAAATCTTGTTAAATTCTTGTTAAAGTCCTCCTGTGCACGCCCCAGCGGCCGCCATTTGGCAGCCCATCGATTTTTGGCACAACACCAGCCCACATTTCCAGGTTGTCAGCGGTGACGTGTAACAAACGTGACGCGTCAGCGGTGATGCAAATAGATGTGATTGTACAGCGAAGCAACATATTTATGGATTTTTCCACTTTTTTTTAGAAATATTTGGACCGATGCGACTTACAGTATAGGGTGGTGCGACAGGTACAGCAGAAAATATGGTAATATTATATAGATTTAAAAAAAGTGTACGAATAAGGCTACAATTAAGAGAATGTGTTCATGTTTAGGATTTTTTTTCTTAAACTAAACAACATTTCAGTTAAAATATATAGCCATTATCTTTAGTTATTCAACTACCCAAGTAATGCCAATGTCAAGTCCTTCAAATTTGCATACTTGTATTTATTGGAAATGTATCCACGTGTTGTTTGGGGGCAGCTGTGGCTGAGCGGTTAGAGCAGTCGTCCTCCAATGCGAGAGTTTGGGGTTCGAATTCACCAGCAGTCACATGCTGAAGTGTCCATGGGCAAGACACTGAACCCCTCATAGCCTCTGATGTGTGTCCCATCAGTGTATGGATATGATCTTAAGCTCCGATTAGTCTCATTAGAA